TTTAATTCTTACAATAAGCATGTAAAGGATCTATAGTCACTTCTATTTTCAGAGAAACCCAGAAAATGAGTTACTATGCCCAAGAAAACACAGTGATGACTGGTGGACCTAAACTATGAACTTGAATTTGTGGTTTCCAGTGAATAACCAATAGATAACAGTCAATAAATATTTGTGGTTGCACAAAAGCTCACAGTCCTAGTTGCACTAGTGCTGTTTATGCTACATGAGGCTGTAAATAAATTAAAACTATGCCTGTAAGTACTAAAGCTTAAAATGTTATGTAAGCATAAATGATTCAAGGAACCAAAATTTTGAAATAGCTTTATTTTTACTCTGGGGGAAATCTGTTCTCAGTATTTTGTTTCCAATGTAATGTACTTTGTAAGATAACGCAGCATTAATATTTAATAATACAATTTTCTTTAACTTTTTATATACTTTAATCTTTCTTAAGTGTGCAATTCACTCAGTCCCTGAAATAAACAGAGAGATTAGCAGCTTTTAAGCAATGGATGTTTTGTGATATGTTCTAAACTCAATAGATAAAATGTCATATATATGTGAAATAAGATACATAAAATATATATATGTAATAGGAAATTAGGGGATAGCAAGAAATGTATAATATCTCCTAATCAAAGACTTCTACTTAACACCTGTATGTAAATCATATAGAACTCTCTCACCAGTTAGATACTGTACATTCTATGTTGAATGCTTAGAAGAAAAGCAATAAATCTTAAATAAATTTTTCAACATGATTTCTAAAAGTTGTTTTCAATGTACTATGTTAAAAACAACCTTTATAGATTAATTATGACAAATTTGTGCATTAGTCAGGAAAACATGGAAGGATATCTCTTTTGTAAGTTTTCATTAAGCATATATTTGAAAATTTTAATCAGGTTTGCTAGACCAAATTTGAAATATAAAAATACTGAATCATAATTTCTGTATGAAAACATTTTACATTAATATTAACTAAAGGTCAAAAGTACAATTGATATTTTACAAAAGGCATTTTATACATTGCATATTTAATCATATTTTGATGATGAATAATTTCATCAAGAGGCTGCTACATGTTAAACTGTAAGAGATTGGTTGCCTACCAGAATGAGTTTTCTAAAGAAAAAGACATAACTAATGCTGTCTTTGCAACCAAACAGTTACTTTAAAAAATACACTATGTATCATACCTCAGAAAATAGGGTTGTAATTTTTTCTTTCTTTTTTTCATTTTTTGTTGTGGATTTGTTTTGGTTTGTTTTTTTAGAGCTGAGAGGACCATCAAATATTTTAGGAATATCTTTTACTCATTGAGGTCAGCAGAAGGGTGCCACCTGGTGGAAATGTGAACAAATTCTAAACCAGATCTGAGTAAAAATGTACTCGTTTAAGAAACCTTGGAAGTATCATTATTACCAAGGGCAAATGGTACAGACTTTTTTTGTAAGTTCTTATGTACTTATCAGGATCTATTTGGTTACTTTTACGTTATTTAGATCAAAATAAGAAATATTAAGTTAACTTTAAAATTTCAAGACCTATTATTATGTACATTATAGTTGAAGTTTTAAACAAATTCATCTGTTACATTCGAAGTAACTTTATATACTCACACAGAATATTTGTGATTATTTTGCATTGTGCTAATAAGAATGTGTTGAGCTGTAACTGTGTAGAGGTTAGAAGGCAGAGGCTTTAAACTTAAATGAGTTTATTTTAGCTTAAATATAATAAACTAGGGCTAAATCTCATCACCACTTTATATACAAACTTGATCAAATTGCTTTATATACAAACTTGATCGAGTTGCTCAGTGTCTCTAGTCTTCTGTATTCTCATCTCTAAAATGGGACTAAAAACAGGACCTACCTCTCAAAATTGCTTTGAGCAGCAAATAGAAAAAAAATACATTTAATAAGCATTACCTCATCAGCCCAGAGAACAGTCCTCTGCACACAAGCAAGCAGGAAGTGTTTGTATTTTTTAATAATAATAATAAATTACAACTAGTCACTCAAGATCTTGCAACCCTTAATGTAAAATGGAATATTGATCATGTAAAGTGAGAATAATTGTCTACCCATATCAAAGCATTTATTTTTAGACATTTTGTAAATGTGAAGTATTATGAAAACAACAAAAATAACTGTTGTAAACCCTTATTTAATCAGTGAAGCTTTAAAGGAAAGATTACAAAGATAAAAAAAATTCCCAATAATTCAGAATATTAATAAAAGTATACAGTCCCTGCCATTCTTGTTGCTGTTTCTCCCTGGGGAAGGGGTGCTGCTGGTCATGGCACCCATTGCTAGAGTACAGTGACAGAGAGATGCTACAGGGAGGTCAAGCTCTCTAAAGGACAGTAAGAACAAACAAAACATAAGGTTTTGAACCGTTTCACCCAGTGGAAAGACTATGGTCTTCCACTGTGCTGTTAAATGGAAATAGGTGCTTGATGGGCTCAGGAAAAGGAGTTTTTGAGGTTTCATAAAAATATCTACCATGGAAAATTAAAGAGCTTTCTAGGAACGTTCAAATACTTATAACTCAAAATCAATACAGAGTGGGTGGTCAGCTAGACATGCTTCTTATTTAACTATAAAGTAGCACTTCATAGAGCTACATTTCTACTTAAAATTTTTTTCTGAAATATCATAGAAACCAGAACAATCATCATCTATATGGAGATGGTATATTAATACCACAAGAGAGTTGTGTGACAATCGCAGAATTAGACCACAATGATTATATTGGTAATGAAAATTTAGTAATCTTAAAACAAGTACTTTAAGCATTCACAATAATCATCCACATTATCTGGCCATCATTTCATATGTCAAGTTTTAGACAAAGAATATAGTAGATATAGGTATTTTCTGGGAGTGCTTGGAAAACCCTCAATAGGATGCTGTCATGTACATTTATTTCAGTCTCACTTTCCTTCCCCTTGCAAAACAGTCTCTTTCATTTTAACTCAAGTATAATATGCATACCATTGATTTTAAAATCATGTAAATGCTCAGAAGGCCACTTTCAAAAACTGGATTAAAACAAGAGTTCTGCAAATGGCCACTCCCCAAATATTTGAAGTGGCCATAAACAAAAACAAATGCTAACAAGAAAACCGGATGCAAGCTTGAATCCATCTCTTCATATGAATTTTAAGTGCTAGATTAATCGTGACAAAAGGCTTTACTGTGCATATAGGGCTTGTTCACTGTTTACATACACATTCTCAGCTCCTGGGCACTCTGCTCTGCTTCTTTCTCTCCACCTCCACCATCACCAAACTGTATGCAGCACCTCAAGTAACCAGATGGTGTCACAGGTTAGTGAGCAAAGATTTCATATGGGGACTCTCACCTGACTAATCGTTCTTATAGGTAGCATCATTCCAAGAGCAGTAGAGAGGCTCAGCCGCTTGTTAATGAAATTTAAGGGCTGTCAGCCTGAAAGAGGACGTTAAATCCATGTTCCTCTCCTGAAATTATTTTTATAATCTGCTAACCGGTTGCTACCTTGTGGTATGTGTTGGAGGGAGTAGGGAGAAGAGATTATAAGGAGAAGGGAGATATAATGAACTATAAATATTTTAATACTCCCATACTAATCTCAGGGTAAGGAGCAAAGAGGATGGTTTAAGAAAACAATTGCTTTGTAAAAACTACAACATTCACACCAGTAAAGGGAGGGGAAAATTTAAGCCATTTTACAATCCTCACCACCTGTGTGAAATGTATGTGGGGGAAACTAGGCGGCTGGGGGAGACCACAGGCCAAGAGAGATGACCAAGACCAGAATAGTAAAACCACCAGCCCTAAGCAGCAGCGCCTCCTCCGCCTCACTGCCACTCCTGGGCGATTCCGACAGCTCGCCTTCACTCTCTCCACTGTGCATAGAATATGCGAAGAGCGGTGCCCTTACCGCTCCCCTTCACCCCACTTCTAGCAAAAGCTAGGAGTGCCTGCCAAAAACGTGTCGCGCGGCCTTCACCAGTGCATTCGGGGCAAAGGGCTCACGTCCGGCACCTCGGCGACTCGGTCCCAGCTCCGTAGTTAACCCGCTGACCTAAGTGCACCCTCTCGGCTCGGCGCCTGTGATTGATGTAAACGTGACAGCACTTCAGGCCGGCTTATCACAGCCTCCCTTGTCCTGGCCAGGGCACCCCGGCACTGTGCCCCCACAAGTTTGGGAAAAAGCGACATCTAACTCCCGAGTCACCCCATCCAGGGATAACTGAGTTGGAGAGCCACCATACGGTTATGCTACAAACCCCTAAAGACTGAAACAGAAAGGGGGTGGCTGGTGCGGAAAGACAGGAAAGGGGCAGGAATAACCCTCGGCCAGCACAGCGCACCTCATCTCTGCAGACACCACGTATCTGGACCCAACAAATCACTAAAGCCAGTATCTTTCCAGCTCCCCATAATAACGAATGCCTTTTTGCTCCCGAGCTCCGCTCCACTCAACAGAGCACAGATGCGGGCACCCTCTTCCCCCACTTAGACCCCGTCCCGGTCTCCTCAAAGGAAAACGGGCAGGGGAAAACTCTGCCGGCCTAAAGGTCATTTGCCTCCTCGGGGAGCTGGGGCCAGCGCTCGTCGCGGCTACGGGAAGACGGGGCTCGAACCCAGCCCGTGGCGCCTCCAGGAGCGTAGTAATACCGCCAGCGCGTTCTTACGGGCCAAGAGGCCCCCGTTCCTTGGCCCCGGCCGGCTCTCCCCGCCGGCGGCCCGCCCGCCAAGGCTTCCCGGGCCATCCCCAGCCTTTACCTCTCTCCCCGCCTCCCCGCGGCTCTCCGCCGAGCGCATCCTCTCGCCCGGCGCCGAGCGCGCTCCGCGGCGCTAACTTCCCGCCGAGTCCATGGAGGAGCGGAGGCGAGGCGAACCGAGCCGCGGGCGGGGGCGGCGGCGCAGGCGGGGGCGCGGGCGGGCGGGGGGCCGGGGCGCCCGCTCCGCAGGAGGGCCCGGCCGCGTCGCGACTCTCACCTGGTCCGCCGGCGGCGCGGGGCTCGCCCGGGCCCCCGGGGCCGGCTGCTGCTCCTGCTTCATGGCTGTCATCCCCGGCGGCCCGCCTCGGCGCTCACTCCCTCGCGGGCACTTCAGACTCGGGTACCGTCACTTGGCAGCGAACGCATGTCACAGGCGCCCGACGTTCTCCGAATTGGAGGAAGGGAAGGCGGCGGCGGCGGGGTGGGGGCAGGGAGCGCCAGGGAGGGGAGGCAGAGCTGCCCCGCAGGCTCCCTCCTCCGGCGCCGGCAGACCCTCCAAGTCCCCACTCCCCCCGCCCCCGCCACCCCAAGTCGGAGAGCCTCGGAGACCACACGCGCCTGACTGGCAAGTTAGCGGAGCGGCGAGCGGCGGGCGAGCGGCACCTGACGGCGCTCCAGCGACCTCTCGCCGCGCCGGAGGAGCCCGCTCGCATTCTACCGCAGTCCGCGCCCCCCGCCCGCCGCCGCCGGGGCTCAGCGCGCCAGGTGGGGCCTCCGGGTGCCGCGCTCTGGCATCTCCCGAGCAACCGCAACGCGGGCGGGAGCACAGCCCCCCACCTGCGCGGCCGAGGCTGCCCGGCGCTGGGGCCCCTCTCACCCTGCGCCCCGCGGACTCCTGCGAAAACCTGGCAAGCGGAGTGCGTCCCGCCGAGCCCTCGCTGGCTCCCGCGGTGCCACTGAGCATGCTCCAGGGCTCTGAGAAGGCAGGGGTCCAGGGGCCTGGGCGCCCGAAGACCCGCGGGTGCCGCCAGCACCTGTCCGCTCCCAAGAGATTGTCCCAGATGATGGATGACCCAAGTCTCCGCACCTCCTGAGTTGGGGCAATGGACAGCCTTTAGCCCCAACCTGGATTCTCCGGCTAGATGCCATGTTTAAAAGCCACTGACCTCCTAAAGGTTGATTAAAAGCAATAATAACTAATGATAATATTCTGGCACAGACATTTTTTTTCTTTTTACTGGACACGTAGAAGAACCCTCGGGACTCAAGTGCCTTTCCAGCCTTCTCTCTTTGCTCAACACAACCCTCTCCCCTTAGAAGTTTGTTTATTGAGCACCTATCAAGTGCGAGATAAATTGTAAGGCTTGGAAGGATTGCCGGAAAGAGAGCCTAAGTGACAAGCCAAATTTACCAAATCCCTGCCTTCATGTCTTTTAGGTTATAACTTGGGTAGTTCAGCCTGGAGCAGAGGTACAAATCAATTAGTCATAGTTGCTCTTCAGAAGTAATTGACAAAGCCCACCGGTTTCATCCAGATGCACTAGCACGTGGCTTTTTCAGGGCCTAGAAAGGACCTCCCCAAACATTCCAGCAAGAAGCAGTCCCCAGGTCTCAAGCCCTGTTTGTCAGAGATTGCTCACTAGAAAAAAGGCAGGAGGAGTTAAATATCCAGATATTACTGGACTCAGCACAAAGATTGTGAGGAGATTGCAGCAGAAGGGATGGAGAATATGGATGGGGTGGGGAAGTAGCCCGGAGTTTGTTTTTATTGGCTGAGGACTCGTTCTTCGTGGTGGAAGTTATTCTGTCCCTGAAATAGACCTTACTAATTGAGCGGCTATGGTAAAATACAGTAGGAGTTGGGCTCCAAACGGTTGATTTCCCAAAACATGAATTGTCACTAGGCCTAAGTATTAATGATAACAATAGCGCCTTCAAAATATGTTTTTTTTAATAAATCAATGATCACCAGATTTGATTAGGTTAGAACATTAAAATACGATTTTCTCTTTAGAATGATAGGATTGGCTTACTTTTCAGAAATAGGTAGTCAAGTTCATACTGTGAGCAAACCCCTCATAGTGTGTTAGTCCATTTCAGTAGAAATAACCGTTTGATAAGAATAATTTTGCTGCTTGTAAAAGTATAAAACAAATTTTAAAAAAGAAACACGGGTAAAATAGCTACTAAGCAGTTCACCTAGCAAATCTGACAGTCTAGGTTTTCCCTCACATATAATTTTTGGGGGAGAAAGGAATCTACATTACTCAAAAAATGTTTCTATAGAAAGAAAAAAAAATGTTTCTATATTTATATTTTGTTCTTCCGTTAATTATTTTAGTATATTTCAACCTTGGAATGTGTTTCCATTTTGGACAATTGACTTGACTAGGAGGAATTAATGTGCAAAGATTTCTGTCCACATTGAACAAATATTCTCTTCCTATTTAAGATTACTTATTTGATTGAATTCAGCTGTCCAACTTGTATCCATTTTCACTATTCAGTATAAAATCCACAAGTTACAAATCAAGATATAAGTTCTATGTTTTATGTATAATGTGTGTATGTTTTTTTAAAAGAATTTTCTTTGATTTAGTCTGAGTCTGTCTTTTGAGTTGGTTTTGTCTAAGCTAAGCGTATAATTTTTTATATGTTGGGATCTAAGTTAAGGGCATTAATTAAAACTTAATCACATGTAAACTGATTTTATCAACTTAAATATTCTGTTTTTAGAAATGTGAAGGGCTCAAATTACAGTGTAGGAGTTTCTACTTCGTTTCTTTTTGAAGAAAAAATTCTAATGTCCAAGAAAAAAAATAAAGGAATCCTTACATTCAAAGACAGAATATCTGCAGTTCAATTTTGTTTGGCTCCTGATTACAGATTATCATTAAAAAAATTAAACACTAATTGACACTCAAACATCTACAAAATTCTGAAACTACTCAAGTAGCTATAACCTTAGTGCAGTGTACACAAGAGGACCTGTACCAGACTAGATACCAACAGATTGGGCTCTTGGATCAAAAGACTATCATCTGAATCCTAAATTACTTAAGTATGTTTAAAATTTAGTTGAAGAGTCAATTAAATGCTTAGAAAAATACAAAAAAATTCAATAGATAAGTTAATTACTTCACAAAGAATCCTTCATATCCACCAAACTTCCCCATGCTCTTTAGTAACACGTAAATGTATAGTAATAATTTTTGTCTTGCTAATATTTATAAAATTCAGCAAATTAAAATTAAACATTTCTTTACATCATATTGTTTCTGAAAATTAAAGATCTTTTTAAAGAGTTTTTTAGAGATTTGCAGAATATTTTGGAGTACTTTTTCTCATATAATATCTTAGATGAGCTAACTCATGGAAAACTATACATTTTGTAACACACAATACTAAAGGACGTTTTCCTAGTTTTCATGAAATGGAATCAGAAGGTCATAATTGCACAAGACTTAGAGAGATTGCCTAGCAAAAGTCCCTCTATTTGGCTGTATAAATGCCTATACTTGGCAACATGTGGCCATAATATTCAGGAAGATTTCAAGGATTTAGATCCCACCACTTTCTTCTGAAAAATTTTATTGCTTCAAATCCTGGACTCAGATCCCCGTGTAGACATAACCCACTGTGTTGCTTTCTCAATGTATTGATTTGAGTTTTCAAAGTTACTCAAAAATTTCCTCACATACAACATTGTGAACATCTACAAATGTCTTTCCTTCCTTGATATTTGATTCTTTAAAAGTGAGATGTCAATGCAGTGCATTTCAACTTACCTAGAATTATTAACATGAATAATTGAGGATGGGTTATGAGATTTTGATAATTAAATTCATTTGTGATTATAATTAAAATGTTTAAGCATAAGTAGCAAACATAGACTGTTCCAGAAATATTTAGGTCATGTGTGCTATATTCAGTCTTCCATATCAAATAGTAGACCCAGGACCAAAAAATCCCTGATTTATTCTACCAACCACCACTAGCAAATAAGATCTGACCAAACTCTGGTATGTTAAAGAAAGACAAAAGTCCCTTGAGATTTTGTAAAGCAGGGTACCCCTTACAAACTCTTCAGTTCGAGATGAATTAGATAAGGCAATAGGACTCTATAAGCAGCTAGTTGCCTAGAATCTCTCCCTACCTTTTTCTTCTCTTCTCTCTCCTTCCTGAGGTCAATCTGCAGTGTCATGTAAAGGCCACCCTGATGGGGATTTCCCTAGCATTAGCCAGTTATCTATTGAGTGTCCTTAATGAGCACAGCATCAGGAAGACAGAGTTCATGAGCTGTGCCTTCAGAGACCTGGCCTGAAATGTGCCCAATTAGCTTTTCACAGATCAAGAAATAGCTTTAGTTCACATCTCCTGCTATCATTTGCTTTTGATTTATCAATCACCTCAACTGACCTCAACTGGCTTCTTGAATTCCCCAAAATGCATATCATGTCATTGGGCAGAAGACCAGTATATAGAGCAATTCTTAAACATTAGCTATATTTTAGAAGCTTTAACCAATAAACTATGACAAAAATTTTTTTAAAAAGTAAAAACAAATAGAAATAAAAGGAAGTGAGAGCACTGCATATTTAAATGCCCATGTACATGACTCATACCTTTCTGAGATTCTTTTGGCATTAATTCAACTAAACTTTCTGTCAGTCTCTATGACAGGGAGACTTTCCTGTTGTAAAAATTCATAGCCCAATTATGATCTTTGGTGGAAGCAGACAAAGTTACAATATCCTGAGAGCCACTCTTATTACTCACTGGAGACCTGAAGATATTGACAGGCTGCTCATTCACATTGAGATCCGTGCTGTAGAGTCTCCTTGGTTGTTTTATTAACACACCTTGCATCTTCCTTTAACCCAACAGCCCTTCTATGACATATATAAGGGTATTAAGAGAGGAAAGCAATGCATATGATTTTCCACGGGTAATGTTTTCTGTCAGTATGTAGAACTGAATTATAATAGCAAAACAACTTGAGAGTGTGAGAGATTTACTTGTTATCATTATTTTTACCCACTAGATGCTTGCCAAGGGGTCTGTGTTTATCTATTTAAATTCTAAGATTAGTCTAATGAACTGGTTATTTTAGCATAGCAAAAAAAGACTTTCTTTTTTGACTGATTTTAGTGGTCATTTTTTTTCCTGATCTTCTACATTTCTTAAGAAATAAAATCAATTTTTCTAAATCAGAGTCTGTCTACAAATGACGGAAAGGTTGTCAGATGTGGAAGAGAATTTAGAAACATTGGCATAACATTTCTTCTTTTCAGATGAGTCTGCATTTGATGAATAAATTTCTCTGAACTTGGTATTTCTCATTTCCATAACCAAGACTAGATTTTCTAATGATTGAAAATAACCTCTTTATCTTTGTCCTTGGAAAGTACATTGTTACTGAGACTCTCTCTTACACTCAGACTTCATAATGGTTACCTGATTTTGTTCTTTGTATTATTTCCAGAACAGCACAAAGTGTATTTCCCATTTAGGGAAATCTTTCATGAATTGAAAAGGAAAATCTAGTTTTTGGAGGGAAGGAAGAA